TCTTTAATTTTTAATATATTAGATAATAAAGATAAATAAAAAATAATTAGATGTAAATGATTGAAAATCAGATTATGGAAACTGAGATAGAGAATAAGTCGAAGTTCACACGAGCTAAACAAATCTTACAGCAATTTCACTATTTTCTTCTATTAGAAAGCAATAGACTTTTTAGGTGTTAATGATCTTCCACGAATAGCGTTTCATGCTGTATTTGTTTGACACATACACTATATTTATCATAAATTGCTTTACTAGTCAATATTGTTTTACTAGTCAATATTGCTTTACTAATTTTATAGTATTTGATAAGTTAATCTATGATTATTACGTAATTCGTAATATTATGTGATTTTAATCAATATTATTACATTTTTATATTTTTACAATCAGTACGAAATATGTATTTGTTTTAAAATAATTTTAGAAATGAATTATCGTTTCTTATTAAGTAAATTCATATTTTAATCAATTTTAAATTAAACGTTTAACATTATTATCTATCTTATTTTATTTTTCTATATCTTTCGAATTTTTCACTCCTTACTTTTTTTTTCATTGACACATGCGCGATGGATTGAAAAGGATATTAATTATATATTCACCTTTATTATATATACACATTATACATTTAATTCTGAGTAGAAGCCATATTATTATATCTCATTAAGAAATAGTTAGAAGACCAGTAATTATTAATAATATAATAAACATAAAAAAGATTATCAAGGATTGGGCATCGGATAAATTGCAAAATTCTCTTCCTTTGAAAAAGATGGGAGAACAAATCTTATTGTAAGTTACGTTGGAAGAACGTAACGCCGTGCGCCTGTTTGTTTCATTGCATGGCGTGAGAACGTGATACAATGAACAACCAAACGTGAAACGCACAAAGGGAAAAACGAAGGCACAATAACTAGGAAATGTAGGATCATCATTGCGTTAATTACCGGATTCAAAAAAACCGTCGCAATCGTTAGAGCAATCGCTTTTGATAATTGTGAATCTTTTTCTCAGCACCCTGATTCGCATTCGAGTCGTTCATTTATCAATATTACACAAACTGAAATTTCATTAATAATTATTTTTCAGCCAAATTACATAATTTTGATATTTTCAAAAATTTCTCTAATTTTTTTTCTTAATATTTTTTTCATTCCCTAATATTTTATTTTCTTGAATTTCATACGGCAATAAATGTCGCATTTTTATCGATCGATGTTACTCGTTGATAATCGGTGAGCGCCAAATCCATCCGCAATTACGCCATCAGTTCTATGACGGAAGTTAAGAAGCGGTTCCGGAAATGAGAGCTCCGTCGGCCGTGCTAAACTCAGTTTCCCTCGACCTTCCCAGAATGTGGGTTAGCATGTACTGACTTAGTCTGAATTCTATGATAACTTTTACGATTTCTAATAACTTTTTTTTTAGAAATATAATTATGCATAAAATATTAATATCAATAAACAAGTGAATTCAAATTGTTAATTAATAGTAGTAATATTTCAACAAAAAGTATCATTGTTAAACATCAAAATATTTTCACGAACGATCATCATTATTATGTATTATATATTATATATTATGATCAATTCTATTATTCCTTAAACAGTCAGCTATTCTATTTATTCATTCGTCTCATAGCGTAAAAGAGAAATCCTTCATTTATTAACATTCACTTCTGCAGTTTATTTTCCCAAGTATGCAAAAAACTCGAACGATCGTGTAAGTACACCGTATACCTTTCTCTGAACGCAATACGATGCAATTTCAAGCCTCTCCACCGCGGATGGAATTGCTTTCAACTACAATCTGCGTGCACTAGGCTTACCGATCATTTCCTTCCGAACCGATAAGAAAGAGAGAAATAAAGAAAGAATAAAGACGAACTCGAAGTCGATCGATAATCGAAGTAATATATATATATAATAGGTGTAAGATATATAAATATACATTTATATTTAATATTAAATATATATTTTACACATTCTAAATCATTCAAATCGTAATTAAACGTTTAATAATCTTTTTTTTGATTGTTTAATTCTTGCAATAGAAACAAAAAAAAGCAGAGTATTATATGGATTAATATATATGCGTAAAATATACAGTATTTGTTTATATATATTATTATTATAATATTTTTTTTCCACATTAAAATCGTTTCTGTAGAAATCTCGAACAGAAATGGATTAATTTATGTATTATAAAAAAATGTTACGCTTAATTAAACAACACTGAAAGAAAGTTGAACTGTAGCTAAAGAAAAACATAGCATTCTGTTCTTTGTTAAAAGGACAGAGAATATGATATTGATATTACATTCAATGAACAGAAGAAGAGAAGAAGAAGAAAATTTCTTATTTTATTTTAAGAATCAAATCAATATCATTGATATGCAGATAATTTCATTTTAATTATCATTTCAAAAATTTTATATACCAAAGTAAATTACATAATTGACATAATAGCTAAAAAAAAAAAATCTACTAGGTATTTATTCTTAAGAAATTATTTTTAATAATGATAAAAGCTTTCTAATTCATATTATAATATTTAAAATATAACATATTTTGTAGAGAATAGATATTCAATTGGAGATTTCAACGCATCACTCCCGGAATAGAAAACTATTATGTTAACTGGAAACTTGTTGTAAATATAATTTATGGTAATCATGCCACATTGTGAGTTCATTAACTTAATTCTCAATATTAAATATTCTCATAAATATCTTATATGTATATTTTTATTTGAGCACGTTTCAAGATTAAAATTTCATAATTACAAAATAAAATTAATCAAAATAAAAGAAATCAAAAAAAAAAGAAAATAGAAATAATCATAAAAAATAGAATATTCTAAAATACTTCGATCAATATATTTAAAACAATCATTCATTATTTCTAAATGAAATAAATTATTAAATTCAATTCGAATTAAAAATTTAACTTATTATTTCAAAAACGAAACAAAATAAAAGCGCTTTTCATTTACTTTTTGTAAACACAATTGTAAATATTATATATCTTTTTCTAATCTATAGGATATTGTAGATCTGTAACCTGTAGAAGTGCAAGTAATGAAATAAAAGAATCGAGGTAGGAGAACAGTATGGTTCGATGGTCATGGCGAGCAAGCAACTGGGCAAGCTAGTATCGCCACGCTTGTTGGACTTTACACAAGGAAATTGTAGAAATTTCTTCGTAATAGTTGCCAGATAGGACGGAATTATCATAATCTTCAATTTTTAGCATAAAACTATGTGGAACAGGACGTAACATTTTTCAAGGTTTTTTTCTTTTGTAAGCTAATTATTATTCGAGCATTGATGAAATAATCTCTTCATATTAATCTCTTTCTTTTCTATATCTAAAAGATAATTATATTTTAAATTTCATTCAGACGAAATTAAAACTTAAGATACACTTATATTTTCGATCGAATTTATTTTCTCTGAAATTTAAAATATCAATAACTCAATTGGAAAATTCTATAAATTATAAAATTCTATAAAATTTGCATTTAAAATCTATTTTACCGTTACAATAATAAATTCAATATTTTTTTTATTCAAATGCATGAACGAATATTATAATTTTCTATAATAAAAATAATATATCAAAATTTGTGCTTAATCTTTTAAAAATATCTTTCCTAAATTTTTAATACATTTATTAAAAATGAATCTGTTGCAATTTTAAATATATATATATATATATATATAAAATATATATATATAAAAAAATAACAATACAAGTATAATTTAATTTCAATTTTACATTGTGTTAAAAAAGTTGAATGTCAAAGTTTTCAAGCAAAACAATTCTCCTAAAGTCGATAAAGATAAAAGATGTCTATCAAATTTATCCTAGCAATGTTATATCCTCCCATGTAAGTAAATACATGGAGAAACATACTATATATGTTGGCCTCGTGTAGTACATGGTTCAAGGTCGGCCAGTACACGCTGAAGACGATACATGAGGTATGCGTAGGTGCATTCACCCTTTGAAACTTGCTGCTATAATATAACTATACTTGTTCAAGCTATAAGGGATAAAACAGCAAAGAATCTATCTATGCAATATCATACAGAAATTCGTAGAGAAATTTTTTATTTAATAGACACGTGTACGATCACTTTTTTTTTCTTTTTTTTTTTTTTTCTTGTATCATTTCTAAACAACCAGCACAATAACGATATTGATAATGATCATTTACACGATCGATGATAAACGCGTAAAATAAATATAATTTATTTAATAAAAATTCATTCACGTTTAAAAAAATTTTAAATTCGAATTTAACGCGTTTATTCTTACATTCAATAATTAAAATTTTTTTTTCGTTTATTAATTTTACTTATTCGTTTATTTATTTATATATATTTATTATCATTGTAATCATAATTAAAATTATTTATTATTATATATTTATTTTGTAAGATAAATTTTCTAGTTTGTATTATTATTGTTATTTAAGAAGAAATAATATAATTAATAACATTATAAGTCATTTAAAATGAAAATAATTCTGAATGAAGATTGTATTGTTAAGTATTTTAAAATTATTATACATGTATATATGCACTTAAGATTGTATATTATAAATGAAAATTAAATTCTATAAAGAAGATTAAAATATAAAATTACGGCAAAAGATATATTATTATAAGATATTTTATTATAAAAAATAATTAATAATATAAAAATAGAAAAATTTCATATTTAAATTTTTTTAAAAAAGATTAAAATTATATAAAAATTTTTTAACATCCAAAATATTTAGAGTTGAGAATTAATCATAACTAAAATTAGAAAACTTAAAACTTTTTAAAAATCAGAAAAAATTGGAAATTAATTAAAAATTTTTTAATATGAAAAACAATCAAAATTAAATAGTAAACATTCGTATTATCAAATCAACTTATAATATCTATATCCTTAAAAAACTATAACTATAAATATAGAATCTAATTTAAAAATATATCTACTTACTCATATTTATTACTATTAGTTTACAGCCTGTTATGATCCATGATGTGTTCCGGCCAAGCCAAATTTTGTTATCACCTCAGTTTTAAAAGAATTATGCAAAAAAAAAAAAAAAAAACGTACGGAGAAACGAAAGGCGGTCTATTTCATACGCGAACGAGCGCACTATGAAGAATATCGTCAAAAACAACGGCCTCTGTTGACGCCACCTGTTGTTACTGCCACTCGAAATGAACTTATATTCCCAGTTATACACTTCGAATTATCTTCAATCTCATGTATGTAATCCGTAGTATAAATCTAATAATCATAATATAATTTAAAATTAATTTTTAAATAATTGATATGAACACGCGTAATCCTCGAACTGTGACACGTTTGATACTGGGAACCGTTAAGTTCGTCTCGGTAGCATCGGCATCACGGTCCTCGACTAGACTGCAAGAATTCGCTGCTGTTCGACCCCCCCAAGAATCTTGTCTCTCTCTCTCGAAGCGATAGACTGAGGTAGGGCAGAATAGTATACGAGCCTTTGGAAAACGAATCTTCAATAGGTTTTTCGATCGTGAACCACTGTCCCAATTTTCGGCGATTATCATATCGACAGTTATGGTAGAAAATGACAATAAAAAAAATTGTCTCATTCTATTTCTATTTCATATAAGGCAAATTTAAATTATTTATAACTTAATAAATAAATTGATACTTTTGTATATTAAATTTTGTTATTTTAATAAATCTCAACAACCGATTTTTGAAAAATCTCTTACGAATATATTAATATTATATATAAATTATTCGGTCTTTTCTTTAGTTTACATAATCATCTTTAATTAAAATTTAAATATTAAAAATTTTCAATTTAAACATATTTGAAATATAAAAGAATTTTAAAAAAATAGAATAATATAAAGATTTTATTAAAATGTATCTATATAAATGTATATATATATAAATATATATATTCGCTATCATTAAATCACAATTTGATTTTTGAATTTAATTATAATAAAATTATTATTTTACAGTAGTTAGTCTTGAAATATATATAAATTATTTCGATGAATTTTTTTTCATTTGCACTTTTTAAATACATATAATAATTATAAATACATATAATAATACATATATATGGTATAAATAGTAATATTTAAAATAACATTTATTAAAATTTTTATATTATATATCAAAATAATATATTAAAGTAATTAAAAAAAAACAAATTTTTATTTATTCTTATAATTACACTAATATTCTAAATTACATTAGTTTTGAAATGTCCATATAGAAACAAAATATATTTTACATTAAAAAATAAATATACGAAATTAAATTTTTAAAATAAAAATATTCTTAAAATTATGATAAAAAATCCATAATTAAATGTTTTTTTTCTTAGAGTCAATCCTGGTTTTCCGGATTCAGTAAGAACATGTATATTGCATCAAAAACTTCAGGTAAAATTCATTTCTTTTAATTTCAAAGTTTAAAAATAATATGTTTATCTAAATTAATTTAATTTTAATTTAATGATATGATCATAATTGTAATTAAATTTATTATTGTAATTGTATATTAAATTTATTATTTTAAAATTTTAGATAAATTTTTTTAATTGAAATTTTAATTTCAAAATAATATAATATATTTTTAATATAATATAATGGTGATACCAATATTAAACTTTTTATTTATTATATTTTATTTTTTTAGATGATGAATTGTTGTATTGAAAAAAAGAAAGCAAGAGAAGAAATGGCACATAAATCTCAAAGTATAGATACTGATGAATTTGAAACAGGTATATATAACATAATAAAATTAAAAATATATTAACCGATTTTATATATTATTAAAATAATATTAATTTTATCTTTTTAAAGGGAAAAAATAAATTTTACTTAATTGTTTAATTTTTTAAAAAATCCAATAAATATATAATTTATAACGTTTCTGATTTTAGCAGAATCAGAAGAAGAAGAGTTTTTCGAATGCACTAGCGAGGAACCAGCAAACGAGGACGATTCAACAAGGACACAGCTGAAAGCGAAACATCTATTATGGAACAAACCTGCAGGACGATTAGCCAAACATCCTTCTCTCAAGTATATAATTTATTTTTATTTTAGTATTATTATATTATTATTGTTGTTGTTATTATTATTACATAATTTAAAAAAATAAATATTGTTATAAATAATTAATTTATGTTTAGATTAATTCAAAGTGGAGATCCTCTTTATTTGCCGATAACGCAAGATCCTGTACCAAAAACAGAAGATCAACTCGAAGAAGATGCTCAAGTAATGATGCAGCTTGGAACTGACAAACATGCTTCAGAAATGCGAGCTAGATTAATGAGTGCTTCATTATTATCTGATATGGAATCTTTTAAAGTAATAATAATATGATATATATAGACCTATAAAATTAATTTTTTTATGCTTAAGAAAAATGTAAACATCTTATACATTTTTTATAGTTCTTAAGAAAAAATATTTAAATGAATATAATATCATAAATAATTTATAAAATAATTAAATTTTAAAAATTAAATTTTATAAAAATAATTTTTTTGCCATAAAAAGTATTTTAATATAAAATTTGATATTTTAAAAGAATTATGAAAAAAATTTTTTTTAATTTTTTAAAAATCGATTAATTACTTTAATTCATATGTGTAGATAGAATTTATCTTTTGAATATTTTTTTATAAAATAATAAAAATTATTTAACAAATATAGGCAGCAAATCCTGGAGCAGTTTTAGAAGATTTCATTCGTTGGTATTCTCCAAGAGATTGGATTGAAGAAGATGAAATAGATGAATGGGGTCAACTTAAAGGTTTTTTTATTAATTTGCTTATATTTTAAATTAGAATTATAAAATAAAAAAAAATATAAAATAAAAAAAACTTAAAAAAAATCAATAATATAATTTATCATTTAATATAGGACATTTATCAGCAAGAATGTTAATTCCGAATAATCCATGGTCTACAACTTGGAATTCAGCTCAACCTGTACCTGCTCATCGACAGAAACGATTATTTGACGACACAAGAGAGGCTGAAAAAGCTTTGCATTTTTTAAGTACAAAACGCATAGGTCAAATTGCTCAACTTCTTTTACCAACTTTAACTCATGCAGCGCTTCATACTTTAAGCGAACAAAAACAAGATGCTCTACCAAATCTACTTGATGTGGCATCCAGTATACTTAATAAATTACAATATGCGACGAAACCTATTCATCAAAAATTATATATATATGAGGTATCTTTAAATTATATAATTTTTCATTTTATATTTTATCAATAAAAAAATAATAAAATTAAAAAATAAATTAATTTTAGGAAATTTTTCGAGATATAGAAGGTATAGAAGCTCTTGTTGCTCAAGTAAATTCGTTACAACATAAATTAGGTGGAAATAATGATTCTAAAGAATTTACTTCGTTTCTCGTCCAATTAATGCGTGGAAAGGAAGTGGAAGTACCAGATGGATCTAGAGGAAATATCGGTTCTCGAATAACAACAATGTTTAGAGATGCTCAAAAAGTATTATATACTTTATTTCATTTTAGATAATGACTATTTTTGAATCATTTAATTCTTGGCATATAAAAAAATTATTAAAAATATAAAGAATCGAGTCTTTAATTTTTTTTTTATATTTTCATTAATTTTTTAATTTTTGAAATTATAATTATAAAACTCTTAATTAATTATTTATTAAAAAAAGAAATATTATTCAATGATAAATTTTAAATTATATATTTAAAATAAATTTTAAGTGATAAATTTATATGTTTTAGGCTGCTCTTGTAATGCCTTCCCTTAACAATCCAGAAATAGATGCTATTGGAGATAGTAAATTTAAATCATTTCCAGAACCTTGCTGTAAAGAATTTATTTTACGTATTGTAACACCACGGCCTTCACCAACATCAACAGCACAACCTCAAAGATTATATGTCTGTCTCAAACGAGATGATATTCGTTTAGCTGGATTCTTTTCGGAAGATACAATATTTTTGTAGTCCATATTTCAACATTTTTTTAACAATTAATTAATTACTACTAAAAGTTCAGTTATTTCTATCATTTTATGTTTTTCAGTTATATAAAATGTATTGTTAAAATATATTTTCTAATTAGCTTAATTCATTTGTTTTTGATTTTCATATTAAGTGTATACATACAATTATTTCATTGTTTTCATAAAAAATAGCAATCATTTTAATATAAATGATATAAAATATATAATAAAAATGATGAAACATATAAATAAAATTTAAACGTATAAATATAAAATTTTTTTCTTTCTAAGAAACTTATGTTAGAAAAAATTGATTTTATTCGTTTATATTTAAGATTATAATAAATAAACAAAAAATTATATATTAAATAATAATGTATTCTTTATAAAAATCAAATTGTAAATATTCTTAAATAATATTTTTCAGAATAATTATTATTATTAACTATCATTATGATTCTAACAAAAATATTTTTTTTTCAAGTTTTGGAACTGAAAAAAAGAAATCCTTCATTATATGATCTAATTCTTCCAAAGCTAATTGAGCATGTAAACGTAGTATTGTATCCTCATCGTTATCCCGTAAATATTTAAGGCCACGATATAAATCAACCAAATCTTTACTGAGACTTGTTAGAGTATCTTTTCCAAGGCCACGAAGTAACAAAGTACTAACCATAACTGCAGCTCGTCGACATTCGGGATTTTTATCTGTTTTTATAATGCAACTAATGCAATAGATTACCTAAAAGTATTATTAAATTAAAATTCATTTGTAATCGAATTTACACAATTAATATCTAATTACATTTTAAAATGTAGAATGTTTAATTAAGCTTTATATTTACATAAATTTATTTATTATATATTTAATTACAAACTAATTTTTTAGATATTTTATTAAACATACCTCAATGACAATATCTCCTAATCGAAAACCTAAAACCTTACACAGTTCGCCTAAACAAGAAAGACTAGATGCACGTACTAAACAATCTAAATCTTTTGTAGCACATAAGAATCCATTTATTAAAATATTTTTATAAGCTGATGCCATTTCACCTATTGAATTATATATAAGTTGAAATTTTTATAAAAAAATTGTAGAAAAAAAGAATCATAAGATATACCTAAATTTCTCGTCACTTTTACAAGTATTTCTCCCAACTTGGTTCTAGTTTCTACAGTTATTTCTCTTGCTGAAATACGTTGTGGCATATTAATATATTCCTGTACTAACATTTTGATAACTATTTGTGGATATGAAGTGGCTAAAACACACAATCCATTAATTGCTGCCAAATATATAAATGAATCTTCATGTTTCAAATTTTCCTATAATAAAAAATTGACAATATGCATATAAAAAATACATTACAGAAAATTAAAATTAG